AAAAGATAACTAAAAATTTCATTATTTAAGCATCTGCATACACAAATGCACAAAAAAGAGCATAGCATGATGAAAAAGACCCCAAACTTGACGAAAACAAAATTTTATCGTCAAAATGTTTATGTTATTATTAAGAAGAAAAAAGAAAGTATATGTTAATTATTTAAAAAAAAAACATTTTTCCTTTTTTCTAGAACACTCTAACTTTTGATTAAAAAAAAAAACCTTGTTTCTCTCAGAAGTACTAAATAACTATAGTAAATTTTAGCACTTTTTTTATGACAAACATTAATTTGGAAAATCTTGCAAAAATAAAAATAATTGTCGGATTTTAATGAAACTTTCAGAAACTATTCACAAATGATGAAAATTATTGTAAATATATTTTCTTCTTTTAAAGTCATGGGAAAATATTTTTTCATATTTATTAAGCAACCAAACTAATTTTATGAAAACTCTAGAATTTCAATAAGTTACAATTTAGTTAAAAGCACAAGCCTTTGAGGAAAGTAAATCATGTTTTCTTTTCTTTTTTTTTAATTGGATCCACTCTACCTGAAAATCAGCTCTGAATTGTAACATACAAAACTCAATAAAACAAAGATATTATTTAATTTCAAATGCTTTTAGTTCTTTTTTATGAATATGAATAATATTGTCTGAAAGCAAAAAACTTTTTAAATGAAAAATGAATTTTTAAAACAATTATTTGTTATTTTTTAGATTATTTTATTATTTTAACATTAAATTCTTTAAATATTTTAAAATTAGTGAACATGATGTACAGTTTAGTTAATGATGTTAAGTAGATCTGTCTTTACAGATTATAAATTGTAAAGATGGTTACAATCAACAGTCTCTCAGTATATAAAAAAATCTAATATAACATGGCTTTTGTGTCCATAGAATGGCTGTAATTCAAATATACGGAAGATTGCAAGCATCATGAACACAATAAAACGTCACGTTATTTGAGTTACTATAAGCGTTGTTCCCCGAATTGTTTGAGAATTTATTTTTATGAAACATTTTCTTGGAGACTTTAATTTGATTTTTCAATTTCAACTAAGAAGGGTATCTACAAGTATTAGTGTTATAGACAAGCGTATGGTTGCAAGAAAGAAATACGACAACAGCAGAAATAGATTTACGTGGTTTATTTCAACAGGAACGTGAGGGTTTGGGACAGCTACCTTGTGGTATAGTTCATAGGCCGGCTTCGGATCTAGGTCGATCTCTCATAGTAGTTCACACATGTTGACGGTGGTTGATGCTCCCTTGCTAATAGCTGCTGACCGTGACAGGTCTCTACCCTGGCCACCTGTTGACTGCCTGTTGAACTTCTGTGTGACCCCTTTTATAGCGCTTTTTTATGGCTTAACAGGCTCGAAAAACGAATCGAGTGTAATTAGGAGGGAAGCATTTTTATTGGACGAAAAATAGAACACTTTAAATATTATTTTATTTTTCGACCGGAACACGTGTGTCGGGAACATTTGTAAATGAAGATAATGGTCATTTTGTGACGGGGTTTTGTCCTGTTCACATCCGGCTCTCGCTCTTGAGTATTTGCCTGTAAATCAGCCGAGATATGTCTTCTTTTATTTTATAACATTAGGTACCTATCTTATGAAATTTATATGATCTTATTTTTATATTATTACAGTTATGACAGTTTTCCATCAATGAAATATCAAAATTAAAATGAATGGAAATACAAATAACACAGTAAAATGTAATAAATGTACATAAAATTATAGTATAAATATAGTATACCTATAAATTAATTAGATACCTTTCTTATGAAATTTTATCTCACTCTCAGCAGTCGTATTTTAACTTTTTTTATAGTATATTTCCCATAAAACACCGTAAACGTAAAAGTGAAAGGTAAATACAAAAAAAAAAAAAAAAAAATAGAGCGTTGAAAGTTTTACATAAAATAGCGAGGTAAATAAGTTGGTTAACTTAAAACTAAATAATTATGTCACTTCTGTCCTTTCGTACGATAAGTTTCCCTTACGTAAACTGTCAATATGTGAAATCATCACTCGTCACTTGTCAATCGTCATCATTGTTAAGACCCGCTTACTCTTATATTTTAACTACATTTTTTTCGGTACAGATATATTAAAATATTTTCGGTACAGATATATTAAAATATTTTCGGTACAGATATATTAAAATATTTTCAAAATATATTAAATAAACTTTATAATTTCCAATTTTCTTAAATTAAATTTTGAAAAATGTATAAATGATTTTTTGAAAGGTTTTCAAATGGAGTATTTTACTTTTGTTTACAAAATTGAAAAAATGGTTGACATGATCGATTTTGTGTCAATTTTATTGACTCAAAAAAGATTTTGACAAAAATTTCGGACGTGCTAAGAACGGCTAAAAAATATAAGAAATAAAAAATACTCTGAATTTGGTCTTTCCTCTTAATAATAGCATAAACATTTAGACAATAAAAAATTATTTTCTTCAAGTTTAAGGCCCTTTTTCATCATTCTATGCCCTTTTTCTAGCAAATTTTTGGACGTACCTATATGAAGTATTTCATTCCTTTCGTTATCTTTTTTCGGATCTGATGAAGCTTAAAATGGCGAAGTGCTTTATCGGATATATTTCGAAACAAATTTACTTTCATGAACGCTTAATAGTTGTCAAAAATTTCAAAACCTTGGGATTATATATCCTAATTTTAAATCATGTGTGCGCACCCAATATATATATATATATATATATATATATATATATATATATATATATATATATATATATATATAATGTTATTATTATTACTATATACAGTGTAACCCAGATATAAGAGACTCGGATATAAGAGAAACCCGGATATAAGAGAGATTGTCTCTGGTTCCAAATTAGAGTCTGTGTTAATGTATATAAAATAGACCAAACCCGGATATAAGAGACTTCTTCTCCGGTCCCGACAACTCTCTTATATCCGGGTTACACTGTATATATACACGCATACATATATACAGTGTAACCTGGATATATTAGACCCGGATATAAGAGAAACTCGGATATAAGAGAGATTTTCTCTGGTCCCAAATTAGAGCCTGTGTTAATGTATATAAATTAGACCAAACCCGGATATAAGAGAAACCCGGATATAAGAGACTTCTCCGGTCCCGACAACTCTCTTATATCCGGGTTACACTGTATTATATATATGTATAAAAGTTGTTTCTTTTGTATAATGACTTCTAGCAGTTTGAGCCGTTCCTTGCTGTGCAGTATTTGAGTATTATTATCAATGAATATTTGTTTTATGTTGTTAGTTGTATTTTGCTTGCTTTTCATATGATAATTCATATGTGCCCAAATTGCAGTAAATTTAGACAAGTGAACCTACAAGAAAGTGTTGTGCATGTGTGACCAACGTAAGAATTTAATACTGTTTAGGATAATTTATATTGCAGATGCAATGTCCCGAAGGAAATGAGAATTCATAAACAACATTGTTTTTGAGACGGGGACATTTGAGATCTCGTGTGAGCGATAATAATTAGGTTAGATGTTTGGAACATTTTACAGCAAATGATAAATCTAAAAAGTATTTATTGGGATCAATAAATGATATGTACTGGCAAATCATGGTTTAATGACTTTTTCATCTTGTTTATTGTTGGAGTCTATCTGGTTATTATTGAAGAAGCTAATGGCGTGTTTATTTTTTTTATTATTCATATCAAGATGGCTGCTTGCATTATTTTTTCCAAATTTCTTTAGGGGTAATTTTATCTGTTTGTCATGAACATGGTTAGGGAAATTATAGTTGATAAGTGTTTGTTTTATGTTGCTTAATTCTTTATAAAATAATTTGTCTGAAGAAATTATTTTGGTGCAATTAACTACGTCTTTTATACTAGCAATTATCTAAGAACATTCACTTTTGTAATTGAGAAGACACAAAACTAGCTTGTGAATAATAAAATTATCACAGTTAGTGTCAACTAAAATGTCCAGAGAAGAAATTCTATTATCAATGCTGAATTCATAAGCGCTGAACAGTTTGTGATGATCATCATTATCACACACATACATAAATACTTATGCAAATTCAAATTATACAACCACAAGCATTTATTGGATAGTAAATCAACACTACTGTGTAATGCGACAATTTTATAATCGCTATATTTTCATGTAGTCGATTTCGTGCACTTATGGGAGAATCGGATCCCAGAAGCTTTTCGTTAGTCTCCCCAAAACTCGCTCGCTGATTGGTCAATACCAACCAATCCGATTGTCTGCACGTGAAGAGTGATTCTTCCCGCGCAGCGCTTTCAGAGCCGATGATCACCTATTTAAGCAAAGAAAATTCTTAGTAAACCAGTGAGATCTCAGCTGCCACAGAAATCCACGACAGCTGAAACCATGCGCCAGCCTTCTCACTCATACCACCACTCACATGCTGAATATTCCCTATATTCACATAATCTTTTTTCTTACACAGCAAAACTGTTGAAAACATTTATTACCAGAAACTGTTACAACCTTATTGCTTTCAGTGAACTTTGGAACAATTGATAGTTAAACAGAGACAACTCTTGTTTTACTCAATGCATGCTTTTCTTTCACATCCTTGTTTGTACATCTTGTTAAATACAAATTTTATGTGTAATGATGTCTTTGGCTTATCCTCTTTTTCTTCACGTCACTTGGGTTTCCTAATCTAAGTTAAATAAATGTGGTGAAGTCGGTCACATTTCATTGGTGACCGCCGATATGATTAGGAAAGGCTGACGTAATCTGAGAGGGCCGCATTTCATTGGTATTTTATCAAAGTTCACATAAAAATTAGTTGGCTTGTATTTGTCCTGCAAAAGAAGGCACCAAAACTTCACTGTTACCTCATTCGCCAGTGAACCTAGTAAGAGAATCGTAAAAAAACATCTCGGAATCAGCATATCTACTTGGCGCGCAAAATTTTTTCGTCATACGTGCGAATATTCACGCGACTCAACATGGCAGTCCCAGACAGTGACGGAGCTGCAGTCCTGGTCAACCTTCCCGTTTTCAACACGATGAATGTTCACGTTTGGTTCTCGCAACTGAGTGCAATATTTCAGGCTAAGAGAATCCAGTCACAGACTGCTCGTTTCGCTGATGTAGTCGAGAAACTACGTCCCGACATCGCATCGGAAGTTTCCGACTTGTTACGTAACGTCCCATCAGAGAACCCATTTAACGTTCTGAAAGAAGCCATTATATACAGGACCGGAAAGTCAGAGGAACGACGAATCAACGACTTGTTCAACACGCTTCAACTCGATCAGAACAAACCAACACAACTTCTTCGGAAGATGAAAAACCTTTTGGGTAACAACACCATGTCAGAGGCTTTGCTACGGAAACTCTGGCTGGACAAGCTGCCGACCCACACCGCGCAGATTTTGGCAACAATTCCTGAGGACTTGGACCTACTACGAGTGGCTGCAGTAGCCAATAGAATCGTGGAGACAAGGACTCTTAACAGCACTCATATTTCCTCAGTGGACAGCACACCACGTGACGACACACTAAAGAAAATGCAGCAGCAGATCGAAAAATTGTCCACGCAACTGGAGCGACTGAGTAGAGTGCATTCGCATCCAGCATGCAACGCATACAAGTCTCGACACCATAGCAGAACTAACTCGAACACTAGGAGTAAACCAAACACTGGAATTTGTTGGTACCACCAAAAGTTTGGACAAGCAGCGAGACATTGTGCAGAACCTTGCCATTTCAACGGTCGATCAACATCTACTAAAATCAAGCGGGAAAAGGCGACCCCCAACAGCACATGAAGACGGCGTCTGCTGTTGGGGGAAATCGAGTTAACCGTCTTTTTTTTGTTAAGGATACCACTCAGGCGAGTTATTTTTGGTGAACACTGGATCCCAGGTCAGTGTAGTCCCACCCAGAGCTAACACCAAAACAGGTGAATCAGCATATATCCTGCGTGTAGCAAACTGTACCAAGATTGAGACGTATGGTCAAATCTGTCACACACTCAGCATCAGTTTAAGACGATCATTTCCGTGGACGTTCACTGTCGCACAGGTGAAATTTCCTATCCTCGGAGCCGACTTCTTAGCACACTACTTGCTCGCCGTGGACATGTCTAACTACACCCTAATCGACCAGACGACGCAACTAACAATTACAGGCATGACTTCCACATATACATCTGCTAAGATCTGTGCCTCACTTCCTGAAAACAACCCGCTACATCACGTCTTAGATAAATTCCTGCTTTTACAACACCTTTCACTTCCGTTAAACACAACACTGTACATAGGATTTAGACATCCGGAGCTCCCATTTTTTCATCCCCTCACAGATTAAGCCCAAACAGACTAAGTACAAACAGACTAAGCACAAACAGACTAAGTACAAACAGACTAAGCCCAAACAGACTAAGTACAAACAGACTAAGCCCAAACAGACTAAGTACAAACAGACTAAGCCCAAACAGACTAAGTACAAACAGACTAAGCCCAAACAGACTAAGTACAAACTAGCGAAGGCTGAATTTCAACACATGTTAGACCTCGGCGTCGTATGACCGTCATCCATCCCCTTCGCTTCTCCACTCCATATGGTATCTAAGACACAATTTGGAGCGTGGAGACCCTGTGGAGATTTTAGACGTCTTAACGCACAGACTGTGCCGGATAAATACCCTGTACCAAACCTAGCAGACTTTGCAGTAACACTTCAAGGTGCTCAGATATTTACGAAGCCCGACCTACGGAAGGCATTTTACCAAGTTCTGGTAGCTCCTAAAGACATTCATAAAACTGCAATAACTATACCTTTCGGTTTGTACGAGTTTTTGTGAATGCCTTTCGGACTACGGAACGTTGCACAATCTTTCCAGCGGCTAATAGATGAAGCCCTTCGCGGATTACCACATTCGTTAGCCTACATCGACGACCTGCTCATAGATAGCAAAGACATGAACGAACACATCATGTAACTCAAGTTTTCGAGCGACTCAACAACTTTGGTCTTAAAATTAACCCTGATAAATGTGTATTCGCAGTACCAAGGCTAGTTTTTCTCGGACATGATATAGACGGTACTGGCATTACACCCGTCGTGTGTGTGTGTGTGTACATGTCTGTGTTGTTGTATATGCGTGGATATCAGTATTTAATAAGCTATTTATTATGAGACAAGCTTACTCATCAGTACTTTTCAGCAGGGTACCACACACACACACACACACACGCGCGTGCACACACATTGATATTTATTAAGTTTTGCTTAGTCTGGCACAAGGCCACAAGTATAGGCATCTAGTAAGGCTCAAAATCATTAGTGTAATAATGGTCTGAATTTAGCTTGCTAAATATTGCACCATAGATAAGGGTGCTGAAAAGTTCTTGGTTCAGTCAAGATAGTGGATGTCTAGTAGTGTAATGGATAGTGTCTTGGAATGAGAAATCAGAGCCATGTTCAAATTCCAGTCAAATTTGTTACATTTACTTGTACATAAATATCTTTTGTGAATGTATGAATTCATCTCTTCTCCCCAAATTAGGGGTTAAATAGTAAGTCTTGTGTCTGGAAAAATCATAGGTATCACTAAAAAAATATTTATTGCAATATTAACTTACAAAAAAGAATTATTATAACAATAAAAATTAAAAAAAAATGCTTCAGCTTTAAATAAGCCACAAAGGGATGATAAATTATTTAAAAAAATGTTAGAGTTTGGTAACCAAAATAGAATAAGTTATAGTTCTAAGGATGAACAAGAATAAATCTCTCATACATAAAATTATTGTTTATTCACTTCTGGACTTTGTCAATTAATATCAATTTGAGGGTGTGTGGCTTTGTGGGCTTTTCTTTGAATGGTTATCTCCTACTAGCATGGGTATGAGAGACTCTCTGTTCTTCCTACCCCACCTCTCTCTCTATCTCGGGTGTGGCATTTATATATCTTCCTGTCATTTGGTTATCTCTTGTGTACATATCTTAAGAACAGTTAGGTTGATCACCTGTTTACATGTAGGCAACCCCTAACATCCTGTTGATCTCAAGTCCCAGCCTAAGCTGTTGAATTCACTTTCGCACAAATCTTGAGAAAAGTATGAACTCCTTTCTCCCCGCCACCAGCCATACGTTAAAATAGCAGCCTTAAGCCAGTCTAAGAAAATGACAACTTTGAATTCAAAACCATGGAAAGACAATGGGGAACAAATCAATGATCTTTCTAAAGAGATCCTGTCAATATATGAATATTAAAAAAAAGTATGGAGAGCTATGATCAGCTATATTCTTTAGGAACATAGCATTTCAAAAAGAAATTCCTCAAAACTTACATAATAAAATACTTTTTAAAATTTTCATATAAAATTAGAAAATTGTTGGATGGACAAAATAAGTGATTTTTGTGTGAACTTCTGTGATGAGGAGTTATCATTGTTTACACAATTTATATTCAGATTATTGTCCTCATCTTTGTCAGGTGCATATTGATCTACAGAACAATGGTTTAATGGACTAGAGCATTGGTTTGTGAATTTGGTGACCCAGTGATTGTGAGTTCAATCCTTGGGTTGGGCAGTGTCGACTTACACTCATGTAGAAACAGGCAATCAGTAACTGAGCAGTACTAAATCAAAATAAGGACTAGATGATATCCCTAGACATGAGCAGTGGAATGAGAACAGTCTATCCTTGTAGATTAAATAAAGTGTTCAGTTCAGAATTCCTTGTAGGTTACCTAGATTGATATACACCTGAGGCAGTCCAGAGAGCACAACATCTGAAATAGCAGCAACAAAAATGTGGGCAATAGTCTGAATGTCAGTCAGTCAGTCAGTTATGTGCCATGCATGATACATGCTTAGGCGATCATATATCTTTCGATACATGACTGACAAGGCAGATTATTTTCCTGCAGTAGGTTGCCATTTCTTTCTGCGATAGGCCAGTTGCCATCCAAGGCTATAGAACCTGGTCTGTCCTGCTATCCATTACTCCACCATGCGTCCCTGAATGTAAATAGTGTAAATAATACTAAGTGAAGATACTATTGGATTGTGTTAACAAGTTTGTCTCACTAAACCAGAGCGAGTGATGCGTTATTGACAAGATTTATTTTCAGTATTTAATTATTTTTATTTTTCATGAAAGATAATATATTTGATTCCAGTTCATGTAAAAATTCTCTCCACCATTATTGAGCATTTTGAAGAATAGGGGTAATTATTTGCTCTGATTTTGAAATCAAGAAAAATTTGATATATTTGTTTCATTAAATAACAATAATGATAATAATAATAGCATTAATTCACTTTCATTTAACACGTAAAAGTTTATATCACTGATATCATCCTCCACAGTTTCCATTCCTTTCCTTAATATCATGTGATTTTGAATATTTTAGATATTCTGTAATTTATATTTGAATGCATCATTTCATTTTTTTCTGTGTATAAATACAGTTTTATCAACATATTTATATATTTGCATTTGATGGAATATGTCAAGGAAAGAAAGTCGTTGTTGTAAAAAGTTCTCCTCTTGCTATTTCTTTGTAGTCTTTGCAGATATATTTACTTATATCTGAACTTTCACATTATCTATATATATATATATATATATATATAAAATTTACCTGCTGTTCCATGCAGCAAGATGTGGCACAAGGCCGAGTTTAAAGTGGGGTATCTGAGCCTACAGGCTTGAGCAAAAATTCCCTATAGACCACGTAAAACGGAGTCAGTTTCCCGAGACAAGACTCTGCCCTTTGGCAGAGCCTTGTCTGGGGGATACCTTCTGACATAAGCCAGGTAAGTATATATATATATATATAAATATATATATATGATGTAAATCTATTTAAACTCAGTGGGTGAAAAAACCCGTATAGCACAATTTTCAAACAAATTGGCATCCGAGGAAAAAAAGAAAAAAAAAAAACAAGAAATCTATTCCATACCTGAGGATGTCTGTAGGAACAGACGAAAGCTTGTAAAAATAAGAACTTATACAACAGAAATTTATAAAAACAAGGATCTTTTCATTCATAAACAGGTTCGGGGTTTTTGTATATTATTTGAATTGTTCGCGACGATGGATTTCTCGCCAATTAAGTCATTAACCTTTGTATTTGTTTTTGTATGAATAATTCATGAATATATATATATATATATATATATATATATTTATGTTATGGCATCTGTTGGGCTTCAGAAACCATTGATCTGTACTTGAAGAGTCAAGGCCAAAGGTAGCTTATTTCTTATGAGAGACTGGAATATATATATATATATATATATATATATATATATACATACATACATACATATATATATATATATATATATATATATATATATATATATATATATATATATATAATGTATACAGTATTGGTTGGCCAGATCAAGAATTACTACTAAATTGTAGTAACCTATTCTTACTTGAGTCTTAAGAAAAGATACAAGAATTATTAATAATGTAAGGTTACATTACAGATAGTTGGTCAAGCTGAGAATATTTCAGCATCCTTTTTGTATGTAAAATTGCATTTCATGACAACTGGATTTGGTGCTATATCTTGTTAATAAAGTAAATATTGGAGAAGGAAAATATTCAAAACAGACCTTTTGTTGTTATTTTATTTTAAAGATATTTTTTCTACTTTATTCTTTCTTTTGGTACACTAGCTCCTACCCCGCACCAAAAAAAAAAAAAAAGAAATTGCTTAGCAAATTACATTTTGGAAGATTAGAACCATGACAGTTTTATTCATCCCCAGAGGGGGTCTTTTGCATGGCTTGTT